GTCTCACGTGAGAATGGATAACATAGACGTGGGCCGGACTAAAGTGGAGCCGCAGTTGAGCTTATCACAAGGTTGCAGCTCCGAGCACTTATCTTTTCGTCTTTTCTCCTAGCACATATTGTTGTCAAAGGCTGGAGCCTAGTACAAGTCAGACCTAAGCCTAAGAGATTTGAACAATAGAGGATTAGTATGAGATGGGGCTAAAGGATGATAGGAGACCCAAAGATCAAATATCCTAATGGTTGAATGTGTTGTAATGGAAATTGTATAGAGAAGCTTAAGGTGATAGACTTATATTTAATATCACCTAGTGAAGCGAGTTGGGAGATTGACGAGTCTGAAAACTATAGTGGAGAGTTATTGATTAAACCCACTTAGTATCAGAGCGTTATTTAAACTAATTACTACAGCTAGTCGGAAGACACAATTCACTAGCTTATGCTAGATACTTTGGAGGCTGGTCAATGTATGAGTTGCCATTGTTGAAGCTGGTAACATTTGAACCTCACTACATTCTATATTAATGCAACTGTGACGGGCTTTGCCCGGATTTGGAATGGTCACTAGGACCACTTCGTCTTCGAGTTTAGGCTGTGGCTGAGTAAGGCCCACAGAAATGTGAATGGGGCGCTAAGAAGGTATCAAGGGTGGCACGTACCAAATGGGAAGTATGGTACAGGAGAATAGATGAGCCGGGAAAAAAGCATGATCCTCATATAGCCAAGGAAGAGAGCCGGGGATAAAGGATGATTCTCTGGTGGCCAATGAAGGGAGTTAAGACTAGTCTACACAGAGCATATAAAGAACGGGAGAGTACGTGGTAGATTGTCTTCCCGAGGAAGAAGTTATTAATTCCTATCGAGTTATTGTCTTTCAAGTACATCTGAATTCATTAAACTCTTACAGCAACTCTTGAATGCCAAGTAGCGCCAATTTCAACATAATGATCCGATGATCTGATGGTTGAACGCTGATAGGGCTAAGCTTTGGCAAGAGGCATCCTCCACACCTTCTTCATGTCACTTATTTCATTTACATAACTCGAAACCTTGGTGTGAAGCCACATTATTCATAAAGTGGGTTCCCACGCTAAATTTCCTCTTCAGTTTAAGATTCTCTTTTGTACCTAGATCTAGATAGCTCGTGAATAGCATCTCTCTTACGACCCTTATAATTGTAGCCAGATATCCAAATCCAACTTTTTTAAGACCCGTATCATTCTCAGGTCAATTGTAACAGATAGAAGTCTAGATCAATCTCATGTAAATCCATTCTAAAATGTCGACTAAGATTACAGACACAACAACACTATTATAAGTCGTCAGTTATCTGAGCCACACTTACGAATTATCATGAAAATTATTTTACGAAGTTTAATTTGAGGCTGGATCAAAAAAGACGGAAACGTAGGAGTTATTTGGAGGAGATATAGGACTTATTTTAAGGATGATAGGAAACAGGTGAGCGAGGACATACACTTGTAAATAAATAGGCATCATTTCACCTGATTCTATGCTCTTTTATTGAAGTTTTGCTTTGTTTCTAGCCCTGAGTATAGTTTGAATAAAATGGCCATTAAGCCTGTTAAGCATTCCATCTACCTATCCTCGGCCAAGTTTTCGAATTTCATTAGAGCAAAAATTCCCCACAAGCCAAGCTTTGTGTATTACGATTTCATCTCCACCTTGCGGGTACAAATAACGTCATAATTCTATGTTGGATAATGGCCGGTAATTAACGAGGCAAGCACCTGGTTACATATGGAGCATCTCATTGACCGGTTTATGAGGCGAGCTAGCATGTGTTTAAACAGAGTTTGAGGACTTGTATCATAATGATAAGATCAATATTGACGAGAGGTCGCCGGTTTTTGATATGCTTTAGTTTAATTTTGACTTAAATCCAGACGCGACTCTATTTGGCTATCCTTGATATGTAGAGCACACTGAGCAATGACACAAGTACCTATGAAAATTGAAGAATCCGTGTTTGCCAGCGGGTCTCTTTGATGTTTTAATGTGACTAATATATTTAACATAATATAGTGGAACCTTATTTTTTTAGATGCAGCGTGGGTAGATAGCCTCCCTGGAAAAGTAGAGAAGGTTTTTTGTAAAGCTGCATGAGTCAAAGTCTTAAGTTCTGTCCATTATTTGAGCTTTGGCGGATACCTGAGCTGGATAATAAGAATATAGGATTACAAGATTGTGCTAGGTCCGACTTCCCTAAGCACGACTCAAGAATGTGATATAATTCAACTTGGGCTAAAGCAAGATCTGACACTGACTATATCAGAATCCATTCAAGCCAGCGTATTATCCTAGGATTTATTTGATTTAATTTAGCCAGTGGAGGTACCCTATGGGCCTATGCAGGTATATCTAGCTAGAGTATTTACAAAGGAGGAAGCCAATTTGGTAAAGAGTCCCATAACTGTCTATCTCATGTATTTTGGTTTCTCTTTGGTCTAGTGCAGGAAATCCTTTTTTATACTGTTCATACAGTGTTAAGTGACTAGGGATCTGGTATTGATATATGGCGTTGGATCAAGAACCTCATAGAAGGTTGGTGTTATGGAAGCATTGTTGACATTTTCATTGCTCCTAGCTTAAATCTCAATGAACACCTACATTGTGGCTAAAGCTTTATTCTTTAGATTCAAAACCTTTTAAACCTTGAATTCTCGCTTGCCATAACCAGCGTGTCATAAGAGACAGTATGGACTCCATCCTATCCTTGTTCTCATTGTTCCACCTTTTCGTCCATTGCAATCTCTACTTCTCCTGTAAGCCGGAATTACTCAAATCAGCTTTTAGTCAGGATCCACTTTGTGATTCTCTCATCTCTTCTGAGCCGTTCATCATTGCTGCAAAAGACGTATATTTTGCCTGATGAAGCACGTCTCATCTTTTCCTTGCCCACTGAGGACACGCTAAGACCAAATATTTGACATTTTGAAATGGAGATCCACACTGGCATTGTGGATTAATCAATCCGGGGACTTTCCTTCTGCATAGATAAGAATTGAGACCGACGTGCTCACTTCTTATCTAAGCTGCAATACTACTTGGTGTCCAGCTGAGGTTCCCGCATTATCGAAGATTTCTTATTTTTGGTATAGATATCATATACCTTCTCTAGTAGTGTTAGTCATGGGCTATTCATCACTTGTTGCGAATATTAATTACATTTGAAGTAGAGAAGAATAGAAAGGACCCACTAATACAACCGCAGAAATGTGACAAACTGTTAATGTCCTTTGTACCGCGTTAAAATATCCCAACAGTCATTCAATCCTGCCTGTCTTAGATTTTTCGAAGAAATTTTACTTGGCACTTTTGGTTCAAGCTAACTTGAGAATGTCTTGTCACAATAATTGGGTCTGAAATGGATAACTTGAACCTAAGCCAAACAGTCATGCAAAGCCTACTCATCATCCATGCACGAAAATACCAAATTAACTATTTACGTTCCAGCTGTCTATTGAAGGAATGGTGACAGTCCCTAGTATAAATGTCTCGAGTGGTATCAGCAGATGCAATGACTAAATGAGTGTTCCAAACTTCTAACTGGGTTATCTTTGTGTCTAGTCGTCGAGGAAGGAGGAGCAATATAATTAGAAAGTTCATGCTCGCTACACGCAAGCAATACCACAAGGTAACCAACAATTTTCTATATGAGAGATTACATTAGTGGGAGTATGGCATTATTAGGTGTCTCCTGACAAACCCTTACATCTGCACTTAGCGTCTATCATTGTGCAAAAGGAAGAGCAACTTGCCAAATCCTACCTGCATGCAAAGCTGGGCCAGTGCGTTAGGTCAGCCGACTGATATAGATGAAATCCTTGAGACTAGCAATCTGTGTGTCATGCTCTAAGAGTGCTAAGCTTGTGCCTGTAATGATAAAAATCTATCAATCTAAACTTCAGCCGCTAAGTCCACCACGCATATCATAGCTTGTTCTAAATCTACTCGTAGATCAATTATATCAGTTTTAAAAGCCGCAGGGTGTAACAGCAGTGAAGCCAAAGGATTCTTGTATCCTGAGCTGGCTAGCATGAGCAATTATTCCAAGGCAATCTTCTGGGAAGATCTTGGATGGCAGGGAACTTGTAAACTCTAAGTGAACCTTCTGGAAACGCACTAAATATTCCTGAGAGACTCAGGAGTTTTGAAATCTTGCAGGTAATAGTCGAGGAGTCTGACTTTAGCAAATTACATAGAGAAATTTCTCGAAGGGAAATATTTCAGATTCTATGTAAAGGCATTCTTCAGCTACAGATATTCTCTCTTTATAGAATTATTATTAGTTTATTATACCTACACGATCGCAGATGCCATTTGTGATGAAATATTGACATAAAAGCCGAGTAACTTTTGATGGAAACGAGGTATCAATTGCTACAAGAATTACAAAGTTATCATGTAGTCATTGCAAGGAACGGAACAAGTAGAATAATCGTACTTTGGATAATCAAAGGGCACAAATGTAATTAAAGAAGATGTAATAAATAGCAAGCAAGTTCAAATTTGATATCCACCGGCCCTAACTTCTACAGAATTCGGAAAGTGTTGAGTAGCCACTACCTTTAAATTATCTCCTTCCAATTCATTACTTGGCTGAAAACAACAACCATTACAAACAATCCCTTGCCCGAGAGTTGAAAAAAATGGATTCTTCTTGTCCCGAGTCAGCACGTAGATCATGATCAAAATATTTGGCAATATTAGTAAATGATCCCGTTGGAGTGACAGGGTGCAGGACTCTTATTTTTATCATGAAAGCCCCAAGATAACACCTTGCCAAGAAATACAAAATCTCAGTAAGTAGCTCTAAAAGTTTATTTTCAAAAGGCTCTGAGTATAAGAAGTAGGTGAGACAGCCATAGCAACTCTCAAGCTCAACAACTTGCAGAATCTTTGGCTTCTTTACCAAATCATCTTTGACCATCCTACAACTACGAGATACCCGTTACAGTAACCAGTATCACAGTCAAGATGAAACTTTTCACCCTTGCTTCTACCATTGCAGCATTCAGCCTTTTGAAGCAAGTAGATTCTGCTACAGAATATCCCTGTGCTGGGCATACCTTTCCTGCCAGCTATATACATCAAGTAGCACAACATGCTTGGACTGTTGATATTCAATCTCGAGGCGGATTTCCTTGCAGTGTCTCATTTGTCCCTCAATCTAGCAGATACGGACCAGCCAGACAATATCCGCTTCTCCCTTCACACGAAATTTGGCAAAGTATTTCATATACTTCCCTCTTATCAACAAAAAGCTAATTACTTCCTAATAGGTGGAAGTTACAATTTTGTGATTAATTCAAATCGAGAAAGGAGTGTAATAGAAGTATACGAAATTGTGGGTGCAGATTGGAACCCTTGCAGGGGCGTGAGCACTTGAATTCCGAAGGAAGGGTTTTCATAAATTTGTCACCAAGTATTGATTGTAGAATTTTAGTCCCAACTTATCTGTCTATAAGGAAATCAAGGAGAAAATTTTTGAAGGCTAAAACCATTTGAGTGTTGAGCGGATTGGTTTGCAGAAGCTTGTGGCTGTTAGGCACAGCTTATATCACTTGGTGAAGCGAGTGGGAAAGTAAAGGAGTCTATAAATCTGTCGTGGAGAGTTGTTGATTACTCCCACTAGGACACAAAGTTCTATATAAACTAAATTTTGTAATAATAAAATCTAGTGGTTGGTATTTACGTCAAAGCGCATTAATACTAACCTCACAGTGAATGGGAGATTAGTGACGTGTATTCTACACAACCCTGTCTTTACCATAATTGGAAGCACCAATTTCAACATTGAGAACATATAGTTGACCTTGTATTGAATCAAAAGTGAGATATCTATGTATGGAGTGACTAGCTTTGTGATTTAGTTGTCAGGGTTAATATTAAATATTTGTCCTATCTACAGAGATATAGTAGCTAGGGCAAAGACTGCAGATTCCTGCAAAGCTATTAAGGAAATAATGAGCCCTTAGTCATTGAGGTTGTAAAGCGCATTGATTCAAGCACAAAAGTAAAACTAAGTACAGAATTTGTGGTCACATGTGTATCAGCAACGTTGCCAACTTGATAGCCCCGATTATTTTAACTTCTATTAAAAGCCACTATTACTATCAAAATTGTTAAAGCTGTTCAAATTGGTGCAAGCTGGCTGCAAAAACCATCATTAATATGTAGCAAGGTACGACGAATTAGTGTTGATATGTTCCTCATTATTAAATGAAGAGCTTACAAGGTATTTTTGTTGTTGTTTTCTGTATTGTAACAGCTGATGAACCGGCAGTAAGCCCTGTAGCTTACGTTCGCCAATGCAGCTACCATTTCCAGCCGTTGGAGCGTGGGCCAATGTAAATCTCACTCCGCTGCTCGGACAACTAACAGCACTAAGATAGACACGGAGAGGATTATTTTGTACATAAGGGAAACAGTGTGAAGAGTGGCCGAATGACAGTGCCTGTATGGAATGAATACTATTGCAGAAGCCTAAAATTCCTATTACGACTGATCTCAGGTTAACACTAGAAGACTCCCTTGAAAGATAAAAGAATAATTGCTTTGTATTTGGACCTAAATCTACGCACAATAACAAAAAGAAAAGACAATGATGGAGGGAGAGGTCTGCAGCCTAGCTGGGTTGAAAACTCCACTAGCTCGCTTCCGGGACCGACGCTTACTCAACCAGACTCCATATCACGTGATACCACACACCCATCACTTGTTGTTAGGATTATTGAGGGAGTGGAGTCAAAGTAGCGAGAATAGGTAGAGGGTAAGATAAGGTATGTAGAGAATATGTATAGTAGTGCAGTAAGATATGTGAAAAATGTGTGTGTGCTAAATACAGAGGGTGAGGGGGTTTCACCGAATCATCCAGCTGACTAAGCAGCATTTTCCAACACTTGTAAACTCAAGCCATAAAAATTCCAACATCCACCCCTCTAACAGTGTCACGGACGAGGACGGAGACGAGGACGAAGACGAAGACAGAGGCTGATAATGAGGACGAGATATTTAGATTAATAATTAGATTCTAAAACATGAGTAATTTACAAGACAAAAAGCTACAGTACAAACCCAGTCCTAGAGCTTCCTTAAGTACACAAGCTTCAATACTATAACCAAGGGTGTAGTAGTTTACAGCCATAACACAGTAACTAACTAGTACTCTGAATGGCAACTGTTGCTATCACAACACTGTAACCATTACAATACCTAAATTGTGTTATTGTATGCACGTCATAACTCGGTTGCCTGGGTGCGACACGACATCCCAGTGATGGTTTGTGACAAACAGATCCAGGAGAGAAAGTTACCTTTCTTTTAGAAGCAATATCAGGCGCTTTACGCGCATCTTGCCCTAGATGGAGAGAGAAAACAAGAGGCTGTAGATGGTTGACAGAAGAGTGTACAAAAGCTCATCGAGACTTCTGCTGCGCTAGACGCCTTAATTCTAATGCCATACAGGAACGTCGTCTGTTTGGTAAAGTCGTTGGAAAAGCCAAGAGTGAGTATTGGCGACAGAAGATCGATGGAGTAGCCAACCTTACTGAGGTATACAAAATCACCAGCTGGCATAAGAAGCAAACCCGCTCACATACCCCCCCCCTGACTGGACCTGATGGCCCAGCTGTCACTCCCATAGAAAAAGTAAAGCTCTTCAGGGACACGCTTCTTAGCCGCCATCTAAACCTACGATATATCCCGATATATGCGCTTGTTGTATCCCGGAAAAGTCTCCCATGGCCCCCGCTTACAGAGGAGGAAATATTCTGATCATGCTGCCAGGTAACATCCACCGCCCCTGGTCCAGATGAAATCACGATAAGTGCTCTTAAACAAGCCTGGCCAATAGTAGGAATGCGGATTATAGCGTTATTTCGCCAATACGACCAGCTAGGAACCCACCCATCTATCTTTAAGAAGTCTAGTGTTATCATACTACCAAATTCCGGATACCGCGACTTATCTCTCCCGGAATCTTACAGACCGATAGCTCTTCTTTCCTGCCTGGGAAAGGGACTCGAGCAACTAATAGCTCGAAGGCTCTCGTACATCGCCCTCAAACATCGGATCTTAGCCAAGGACCAGTGCAGTGCAGTTCCTCGTCGCTCCTCCACACATCTCACCTCAGCTCTAGCGTGCGATATACAAACAGCCTGGGATGAAAAGAAAGTAGCAGGAATCATAACGGTAGACTTGCAAGGAGCCTTTGATGGCATACAAAAAGGGCATCTCTCACTTTGTCTACGAAATCAGGCCTGGTGTTGTGCAGGCTCGGTTGAGTTGTTAGGAGACAGGGGAACGAAGTATGGGCTGCTGGATTAGGAAAGGGTGGAAAATACAGGCTGGTGCACAGACGCTGTTCATCTACTCTACAATCTCTTCACCTGCCGAGTTTAGTAAATCAATCCATCAAAATAATATCATACTTCACATCATCCATTAGATGATATTATCAATCGTCGGGATGCACATCTAGCATCAGCTTCATAGATCACCATTGTCAGTAAGAGTTCACATTTGATGCCTACTGACACCCATTTGGCCACAGTGATACACACTCAGTGTCCATCGTGCCATCACCCAGCGTGAGCGCGCCATCTCCGCGACTCACCATTGTACATGAGCCCGTGTAACTCCACCGACGGACAGCAGAGAGATAATTGCTATACACCTCACAGCTGGCCACCTAACGTGGTCCTCTGGGTAATCTCCTTCATGGAACAACGAGAGGCTAGAATACACCTAGATGGGTTCTCATCTTCATCTTTCGAGATCCTTGTGGCCTACCCCAAGGCTACCTTGCCACTCCTATTCTCTGTATCAGCTAGTGAGCCGATAATTGTCCTGTATTACGTGATGTTAATCACATGCCTCAACAATTCTGTGAAAGGTGAAACTTCACTCCAGTTTATTCTGAACATGACTAGAAGATTCTCGCAACTGGCGGTGAGACTGTGAATTGGTATCAGGGGAACATAACAGAAGCTTGTATCAGACAGGAAGGAATATTCTAGATAGCCTAATAAGTGTATAAATAGTTGAGTTAGGACACACATATTGTGGTATAGAAAATAATAAACAACCTTTGTATATTTGATCGCCCCAGCATCTATACCTCGAAATGTGACATTCTCTTCCTCCTGGCAAGCGAAGGAATGCTTCGACTGTCGCGCAGCCGCTTTGGGTACGCAGATGATATCTCTAATTTCTCTTCCGCAACCTCTCTAGCATTGTGTGCCGGCCTCCTCTAGACTCAGCTTAACAAAACCCTCTCATGGGGGCGGGAAAATGGATTCACTTTTGATACTTCGAAGACAGAGCTCCAGTACTGTTGAATAGTAGCACTCAAGTTTTATTTGGATGTGCATTAAATAAGGATGCTGGAGTTTGGGTGGTAATGATGATTATGAAGATGTAATGACAAATGGGTAATTATTAGTAATAGCTGTGTAAGAATATATCATGTGACAAGTGTTTAAGGTCATTAAGGCCCAGGCGCTCTGTCGAACCTTTTGAGCTGGTTCGGAAGCTGTAATGATTGAGACTAGAGGTATCTGGAAGAATAGCTCGCACAGGAGCTTTCAATTGAAGTAAAATAAAAAGATATAATTGTCTGTCTGTCTGTCTTCCTTCCTCTTTCTCTCAGCTTATATATCTACACATATCTACTACCTGACGTAAGATGATAATATCTAGAAATAGCTTCCTTACATCACAGGATACAATCCAAACATGTTGTAGCCAAGATGTAATCCTAAACCGACTCAATACCAGTCCACCACGTCTGTTACACGGAAGCCAAGCATTTTCTAGCTGAAAATTACCCAAAACGCCAAGGTTTTCCTGAGGCAATCACAAATTATGTCAGGTACCAGCTTGGCATATTATTCTGACAATAATGTTACGATCATGTTAGAAGAATGGAATTTACATGAATCACAAAACATTGATTCAGGAATACGAATTCCACCGGGTTCTGATACTGGTCTGACACGCTCTGTCACAAATTGTTGGTAAAAGGATCACATTTGGGTAGTGTGAACTGTTGTTGTGCCTGGACCCACATAGCTACAGTGCACAGCTCAAGTCGCAATGATCACGCAACTGCCAGCGTTTGCTCTGTTTGCTCCTGCTTTGTTGAGTTAGTATCATTAGTAAGCAATATTCTAGGGACTATAAGTAGAGAGCTTTCCTTCATAGTAGATAGAGTAAGCAATTCAGTCTTTCCTCATTCTACAGAGATCATTCTCCGCTCCACTTCTTGACCTGTCAGGCCCAGCAGCACATCTGTGATCACTAGCAGCAAACTCCCACAAGTTGTATGTACACCCGAATCATAGACCTATCACAACAATTGTTCTATGTATTTGCGGTATTCAGGTT